AACGTTGCCCCTTTGGTCGTCTGAACTATAACCAGCGATTATCCCCGTGGCCAGTGATCTCAACCCGGCACTGGGAACAAGATCTGATCGACATGACTTGTTTCCCTCTTGAAACACAAGACAACTCTCAGTCAAAACTCTTGATTGCCCTTGAGCAAGCGCATGCGCAGAAATGGGTGCCGGTTATTCGTGTCTTTGGTCATTCCTCGCGTGTCGCAAGGACAGCTTGCTTGGGGGATTCTCCTATTGCTATCAACACTGGTTAAACACCTGTTTGCGGCAAGAATAGCAAAGAACACCTACTGATCAAAAAGACAATGGATGAGCCCCAATGCCGCATTTGAAGCTCAGCCTTGTGCGGCAACCCTGGATTCCTCCCAGATACAGTGATTTCTACCCAAAATAACTCTTCCAAAAGACTCCATCACTGTTTCTTACACCCGATACGTTGAAATACCAGCGTAATTGGCATCATTAAACGCCTAACCCAGGAATGGTAGAAGTCTCCATCAAGGGAATCCGTGCGCTGAAATCCCTGTTCGTTGCGTTGCTCCAAACCCAAAATCCGGCTCCAGCTTGCTGAGCAAGAATATCCAAAGAATGAGTGCTTGATTGAGAGATAGCGACAACTGGTGAGGATAGGGGGGCGCAGTCTCTATCTCGGTTCCAGTCTCCGGCATGACACGGAGCTGGACTGCAGAAATCGCCTTGAGCTCACATGGCGCCGTCAGAGCTTCTCGTCCAACTTGGTCTTGGTCAAGGATTCGTCGTGTATAGTTGACGAGCAGGGTTGTCGAAAGATTGTTCAAGCGAGGCCGTGTTGGGGTATGTGAGTCCTTCGGCGGTGCGAGTATGGTTGTCAAGCAACTAACAGATAGCCTTGGCTTCATTCTAGGTCTGAGGAGCTTTTGCGAACAGCGACCGCATTGCCTTCCAGGTCTGCCACAGCCAGCCAAACATCGCAGCAGGCCAGAGGCTGACAAGGAGCTTCTTGATGGCTGTACTAAGCCGGATTCTCGTTGAATCGGCGATATTCTTCGAGCGGAAACTCGCAGCATCTTCCGTGTTGATTGTCGTGTGGCTCAGGGAGTTGTTGTACGAATCCGTTGCCGCCAACATCGTTCTCGGGCGGGGAAATAACAATGCTCGTGGTCTAGGAGGTGTTGCGGCGGCTCGTAGAAGGAGAAATCGGGGTCGAATGGCCAGCTTCAAGTACTCGAATCTGATTCCAATCTGGGGTTAGCTTCCAGTGAAGATGTAAATGCTGGGATTGTGAAGAAGATGATTCCAATGATAGAGTTGCTGCTGTTATTGCAGTCGAGAGACGCGTGGAACGTTTTTCAATGACAACAAGTCGTCCCATGCATGCAATTCGTAGGGGCTGAACCAAGTGGTAGGCAAATCTTCAGAAGGTTCTGGTAGAATGAAGAGAAAGGGATGCCGTTGTGACTACGGGATGGAATGGTGGTGTATGAGCAATAGAATGGAACGTGGCTTGAACCAAACCTGGAACCTGGGAGTGCAGCCAGCCTGTCCAGGTAGTCCGGGGCGTCAAGTTCACACAGCAAAGCAAACTCCGTCCCCGCCAGCTTGAAGTGGTGCTTGCCGAGGCTGCTCCGCTTCTTTTCCCTGCCAGCTGCCCATCCCCTTGCGGCCTGTGCTCTCCCCAGGGCACCCTGCTGCCCCCTGCTTTCCCTATGACACGCATCTGACCCTTATATAGAAGGTTAAGGCTTGTATTTTCAACCAATAAAACCAGAAGTGCTGTTGGCTCAGTGGTCGGGCGAAGGGGACTCCAAAATCTCCTTTGCAAGACACCCGAGTTCAATCTAACGGTGGCGCAGATTTATTCGGAAAACACAAAAGCCCCAAAAAAGTCAAAAAGCCAAAAACTCCTACCTCAGCTCCAAACACTTTCAGGAATAGCTATCGCACTTCTTAGCCGGTTGCATGGTACTAGCCAATATTGGATATTGGCTCAGCTCAGATTGATACCCTCATCTTCAGCTTCTCTGCCATATTTTCGCCATCTTGAATTTTCTGGTAAGCAAAGACCTCCTGCGGTTCCTGAGGCTTGATCGAGACAACCGCACTTCATTTTTTGGGAGTTTTCTTTTTGGACATTTGATGCCATCACCACTTGCACCTTGCATACATGTTGTTTCTTTTAGTGGTATCTTCCAACATCGTCATTTTTTTTTACACTCGATGGTCGTATTGCTTTTGCTTTTGGTCGTGATCCCTTTTTGCACACCGATGGTCGTCATTTTAAGCATATATTAAATGCGCATGAAGGCATTTGTGAAAGATGGGACGAAAACATCTCATCATTCCATGTCTGTATTTTCTTTTGTTTCATCCACGTCATTCTCGACCGCATTCATTTGAGAGCATTCCATGAACATCTCGGTACATCCATGCAATTCAATTTTGCAATTTCCCATTAAACCCCCACAGATAGAGACGAACTTTATTCTTGCTTCCCGTTTCAGTTCCCAACATGATCGATCATTGATGTTGTTGTCTGTCCAAGCCTGCATCATGATTTTGGCTTCCGCATTTTCTGCGCTTAATATTTTTCCGGCAAGGATCACGAGATAAAGAAGCTCTAGAGGTTTCTAGTGGAGGATCACCAAAGTGCATGCCCCTTTACCTGTGTTGTGCATGAGAACCCCGGGGTTGGGAAAACGGAGGTTGCGCTTCACTTTGCATACGAATACAAAAACAATTTTGACGCCATATTCTGGGTTAGTGCTGATCCAGAAAACCCTGCCGAGACCATGAAGACTTTTAGCAAGATCGGAAGGCGTCTTTGATTGGTCAAGAGCGAAGGGTTGGGAGAAATCCACATTGACATTGTTCTTGACTGGCTTGAGAAAGCTCGTAACGTGATTAGATCTGGTTGAATCCACTTGATGAAAAGGTTTTTAAGGCCCTTCCGTTCCATGGTTCCTTTTCCGTTGGTAGGTGGTCTTGCTCACGCTCCTAAGATAAAGATTCCTTCTCATCGTCGAGACTGCATGTAACCATCAATCGACACTTGACATGTTACAGAACGCCGGTGGCTCGTTGTGTTTGACAACGTTAATGAGTGGCGTGCGATTGCTGAGTATCGGCCAAAAAAATCCAAACTCCCCTCAGCTATTATAGCAATCTCCTCGAACTCATTTTTCAGACATAAACACTATTCCATACCCACGAAGTTCCCGTCGATTGTTCTCGAACCGGATGCAGGTGTCCGCCTGCTCTTTCGCTCGCTCAAAATCCCCGAGGCCACTATGGACGACGCGCAACGTGAAGCAGCACGCGAGCTCTCAAGCGGTCTTGGTGGGTCTCCTCTTTATTTTTCATATGCACAAGGTCAGATCAAAAGCCTGGACCTCAGTCTCGTGGAATACCCGAACTTCATCCAAAAACGGAGCAATCTTTTGCCCGAGGCAGGTGGAAGTACAACAAATTGGAGGTACGGAAAAGGCGTGTACGCTATGCACGAAAGGTTGCTTGCAAAGATGAACCAGCGGCGTTGAATCAGATCAACGATTTCGACGGTGTCCGGGAAAATCTCAAAGTGTGCATGGAACAATACAACATATGGGGCCCCGAGGACAACAAGGCGTTGGAGTACGAGTATGGCAAGTACTACAATCAGATGGCCTATGCCTTGCTTTGGGAAAACAAGCCTGACGAGGCCGTGGCTTATGCCGAGAGGGCATATAAGTTCGTCGACAAGGGGGCTTCGAATACAGCCTTGGCACGGATTCACCAGGCCGACTATTCCCATATCCTGTTCCAGCAGGGCAGTCAGGCTCAGGCCTTATCAATCCTGGTCAAGCTTTAGGATCTCTCAGAACTGGATTGTGGTATAAACAATCTTCGCACCTTGGAGATTCGGATGAATGCTGCCAACATGAGGTTCTTGATGGGTGAATTTGTCCGTGCAGCGTGAGTCTTGACGACGCTGGCTGACAAAACGTGTTTGACTATTTTAGAGAGCAGCTGCGCAGTGTCATTAGCGTGGCGGAGAAGGTCATCGACTGGCCACGAGAGAACACGGTTCGTGCCAGGTATTACCTCTCTCATGCGCTAAAGGGCGTTCTTGGGGACACCGATGACGAAGGGAACGAGATAGAAGCGAGCGCAAAGACTGAACTCGAGTTGTTCTTGAGGATGGATGACACGGGAATGGGGACCAGATATGCTGGAAAGTATCCTATGCTCTTTGATTACTTGGTGGACTGGGAACATCGGCTCGTCACACCAAGGAAACCCCAGCCTATGCCTGTGCCATAGGGGGCGAGGAAGGAGAGGTGTGGTAACTCTAAAGTAGTATCTATCTTTACATACATAGCATGGGTGGCCGTTGGAAACTGTGGCTTCCAGTTTGGTAGTTTATTTTCAAGTTCGAATTATGCACATACTATTCTCATTCTTGAGCGTCAATCTGAGACCAATCATCTTACAAAAATATATCATGTCCAATATTTTCTGATCCATAATGATCCATACACACACAACCCATCACGTACGTCACTGACCCTCAAGCTACGGCGTCATAAGAATTCGATCAACAGGTGAATACAAACAGAACGACTATTCAGGACTCGAGGAGAAAACAGAAAATACAAGATCAAACCGGAAAACAGAACCAAAATTGGAATTAAAATCTTGACGCTCTATCATCTAAAATTTTGAAACTTTTGCCACTACACCAGTGATATGTTAGCATGAAAGAGACCGAGAAATCTGGATAGAACAAGTCTCAGAGAGTTGAACACAGTTAGTTGTGTGTTTCATATTTAATCGTTTCAAATTAAATAATAAAGACGACGACGACGAGAAGGCAAGGGGACACATTTCTCTGATTGGATTTTTTTAAACTCGGCCACAAAATCTCTGCATACTCCAGAAAAAGCTTCCGCGTCTTAAGGAACTTGATCTAAAAGTCGCTCTTGGCAACACCGATTTCGAATTCGAACACCAAGTAGTGCTTTTCTCAGTATTCCTCTGTGGCGCGATTGGCTAGCGCGTCTGACTGTTAACTATTCTGACACGGAACAGAATCATCAGGAGGTTGGAAGATTGAGCCTTCCCGGAGGAGAGAAGAGAATTTTTCATCCCGGATGTCTTGATAATATATAAATATATGATATCGAAGGGAATGATAGGGGGGCGAGCACAATGCAAGAACTTGAGGAGTTTTTGAAGTTGGGTGAGACAGGCATGTATGGGGTACAATGGGAATATTGGTTTGGTAGACTAAGGAAAAATTAGAATGTGTCATAAGCAGCAAGGAAAGAGAGGTGTGGGAACTGTCAAGTAGTAGTAGTATTGCGATCTAGCATGGGTGGCCGTCGGGAAATGTGGCTTCCAGTTTGGTAGGTATCTGGTTTATTTTCAAGTTCGAATTCTTATGCGCTTAACATTCTGACAGTTATCTTTTGATAATGTCTTTTTCAGGCCAAATAATACAATCAAAGCAGCTACCTGAGGGTAAGATAGTACTACTGTTATCTAAATGAGAAAACAGTGAAGAGAAGAAAAAAAAAGAAGAAAAAAAGAGAGAGAGAGAGAACTGCTTTGATATGTGGCGTAGGCCAGAATGAGTGATCCGAAGAACCACGAGGCCGACTCCATTCTGGGTAAGGGTTTCTTTTGTGACATACTCTCTGCCTTGTAGGGCTGCACGATGTGGCTTGAGAAGTCTGCTGCATAAGCCTCTCCATTTTGGTACTTATCGATTATTGCAAAACACTTGCGTGCAAATAAAATCTATCGTTCTATCTCATAATAGTGAATCTGACTTTAAAATGATCGTGATGAAGCTAAAAGAAACAAAACAAATGAAACTGAAACTGAAATGATCGTACTGGGCCTATCCCAAAGCTATGCCAATCACAAAAAGGAAACAAAAAAAGTTAGATGCGTTGCCACAATCCCAAAGTATGCAATCCATCAACAACACCCAAGTGCCTAAACTATCCAACAAAAGAGACTCCCGATTTTCCCCCTCATGCATATCTACCAATAACTCCAAACCCATTCACGTCTCCTGTAGCTCTTGGTCACGTACTTGCCCCCTCTGCGATAAGTATCATAATCGTAATCGTATTCATCATCGTAACCAATGGTAGCGCCGCGCGACTGACGATCAAGAAGTTCGCAATCATCACAGTCGCGCAGGGATGAAGAGCGGGAGGTTATGTGTTCGTGCTTTAAGACGTGTTCGTAACGGCGGGAACAGACGACGATTTCGGAGGCCTTGGTGTGGCCACAGCGGTAGTGGGTCGTGTATTTGATGCACATGTTGGCTGGGGAAGAATGTGTTGGGGTTCGTTGATTGGATGAGGGGTTCGTTGATTGGATGAGGGGTTCGTTGATTGGATGAGGGGTTCGTTGATTGGATGAGGGGTTCGTTGATTCGGATGGGTGTCTCAAAAACTGGTGAGCGTGTGTTGGTTTGGACGTGTCTGTGTGAATGCGGTGTGTGGTTGAGATGGTCTGAATGAATGGTAAACTGGTTCTGTCAAGTCTGTATGAATGATGCAATCCGATCTGTTTGAATAGTCTTGGGATTTATTGGTGATGATGATGAGAAAGAATCGTCGAGTTGGAGAAGGGGGAATGGGGTATATATAACTTGACGCATCATGCGGCTGTGGCCTGAAACTAATTTCATGATGAAAGTCAGATGAGATTTGACTCAACTCTTTCAAGTTGTGCAAGCTACATCTGGGAGAGAGAAGGTTCCGGAGGAGGCTGTGCGTGCGACGGAGTGAGTGTTGATGCGAGTGAAAATTTCGAGGAAGCAAGTTGGACGCGAATTGCACGGGAACCGTACCAGACTGTCGGGAGTGCTCGAGTTCGGGGACACATGCCTTTGGGGGGGCGGAGTGGTTGGGGGTATGACCTCCACTCGCGACCGTTTGCCTAGCGAAAGCATGTGCGTGATTCGGCCAAGGCATTTTAATCGCGAAGCTGTCATTCGCGGCCGAACACAGAGAAGGTAAACGTTAGGAAAGTCCTTAACCGCCGTATCTTTCAAGACAAGCAGTGCATCACTTCAGCAGAGGACAATGCCTGCCAACCAATCCATTTTGGGTGGTTACACACGCGGGAAAACTGTGACCAGACCAACAGATTGCCTGATTCCTTGCACTCCGTGAGGCAACCAAGAAGATGAAAGATGCCAAGGTGCCAAGTGACCATTCTGATGAACCGCAATGTCTGCAAATTCTAAGCAATGAACCAGTTCTGTATCTGTCCGATGTAGAGAGAGATACTCTTCAGTCAAATATACCTATTGACTATCGCCAACTGATTTTTAAATTTGGAAATTGAATACTGGCCGTTCCACAAGCCCACATTACGTAGAATATTGACACTTGAATTTTTGTCCATGAAAATGGACCAACAGTCATCAGGTACACGAGGAGGAGATTCGGCTTGATGGTCTCGCAATGTGGCCTCAACAAGAGTCACCTTTCCCATTGAAACCTATCCAAGTCTGCTTGGATTGTTGCAACTGGTTGATTTTCAGATCTGTTGTTCAGATGTGGCCTTTCAAACCGTGTGGTCCTTCAAGCGCCCTCCCTGTGTGGACAAAAGATCTTGTACACTCTTGCGCCGCAAAACGCGGGAGTCCTCATTCCGCAGGCATTACCCCCAGATTGCCGTGACGATAAAAGCCACCCCCAAACGTTATTCGAGCTCCAAGTTGAACGAAAAATCAGTTGGTTATTTAACGTTATTCGGCAATTTTGTGTCACCCGTCAATCGATCAAGTCCGGCACGAACGTTGGTCAAAACTTTACGGCCTGGCATCGGAAGTATGCAAACGAGACCATCTCCCCGGGCATGATCAGCCGAATTACAGGCGAAAAAAACGTTTTGAGGCCAGGGCAAAGGCCTCCGTAGAACCAAAGCGCAAATCAAGGCCACCATTTTGGGCCCATGATCCGACGCCGAGAATTATTCAACTACCAGAACGCCACACCAACGAGAAACGGCCCATACTTCATGATGAAATATTCTGTGTCTACACAGCCCCGCTGCGTTGATCGTAGGTAGACAGTATTCATGATGAGGATCATTCGCTTCCGGTTTCGCGAGAATAAACACCATCACTGATGGAGATTGGACGAGATGAAAATCGTAAAATTGCCAAAGGAATGATGCGCCAATTTGCAGCTAAGTTGGTTGAATTGAGATGGCTTGACATGGGACGAAGATGCCACACTGCCTCTTTAGTCGCCGGCATCACAACTCATCTGGGCCCGAAAGTTTATGCTGTTCGTATCCTGATCTGAGATCCGTTGATGTGGGTGAACACCATCTCAGCCCTATGCCAAGCAGGCAACATTTGCCGGATGCAAAGCTTCCATCCATGACAGAGTCGAATGTGAGTGCTGACAATCTGTGTGAGCCTCGCATGTATGTCGTACAAGAGGATCAAAATTCCATTTTGACAAAATATCAGTCGGAATAGAGATTTGAATCCAACAGAAGGGGTCAATCCGGTCATGGGTTTACCTGAAAGACCTCATCTGTCTCACCGATCCATACCTAGTTTTCATCAAATATGACGCCGACAACCCGGTAAGAGCCATATTGTACCCTCTTTTACCATTACTATCGACGCGAGGTTCGCCAAGGCCTGAAGTTACTCAACCCCAACCAACTCAGGAACTATCACCATTCGTGTCCACACTTGCCAAGAAATACCAACATGTCTAAACCCATGATAAATGATTGATGATATTACTTGTTTCTAAAAATTCCATTCTCCCTCATAAACCCCAATCTCATTCAGGTTTTATCACAGGCGGCTTCCTCAAACCAACAACACCCGTCTTCACCTTTTCCTTTTCCACCTCATCCGCACTTTCCATCTGTTCCCACAAAATCCTAGCCTGAACCTTCAAAACCTTCCAAAAAATATTCTCCTTAAACTCCTCTGGAGTCTCAACATCCTTGAAAACCCTCTTTCCCTCCTCTTCCTTTTCAACAACAACCACATCTTTTCCTGATCCACTCTCATCATCCTCTTCCTCAGCAGTTTGAACCTGTCCTCTTACAATCGCCAACAAAGTACTAACAAACAACTCTTTTATATAAGCAAAACTGAATCCCTCCGTTAATACCCCAATCAATTGACATAATCCCTCTTCAAACCCTTTTCCTGCTTCTTTTCCTTCCAGTTTTCTTCTCCAATACCTAGCATATTGTACTCTAGTGGCTAAATCAGGCAGCTCAAACAAGTACTTCCTGTCAAATCGACTCGGTCTTTTGGCAATAGCCGGATCCAACCTGCTCAAATGATTCGTACTGCCAATCATTAGAATCCCCTCGTTAGATTCCAACCCATCCACCTCATTCAAGAAATATGACCGCAGTTTATCTTCTACCAAACTGTCTAGATCCTCAAAGATGAGCAAACAAGGCGCCATCTCCCTAGCCCGAGCAAAGATCTTCTTGATGGACCATTTCGATCCCCGGCACGAATCGAATTGCTTGACATAGAGGGAAGGGATATCCTTTTTCGCAAGAGAGTTGATGAGTGCTTTAATCGTGGCGGTTTTTCCATTCCCGGGAACGCCGTGGAGAATGATGCCTCTTTTGAATGACAAATACAAGGATTGGTATATCTCCCTAGAGTCAAAAAATCCTATCGTGTCGGAAATTAGAGAATCTTTGGTTGAGACAGGTAGGATTATGTCGTCCCAGGAGGATTGCTGGATTGATTGAAAGAGAGCAGAGTCTTTAACCCAGCCGTTATCGTCCCAAACGTAGATTTCTTCGTGGAGGGTGTTGGTCCATGTTCCTGCTGCTAGGAGTAATGCGTCAGTTTTGGGGTGATGGAGGCTTGGTGAAGAAAGTTTGGGCGTGAGGATAAAGAGGTATTCGATTGGGGCAACGCCGGGTTCGTGGGAGGTTATGGAGTAGAGAGTAAACGTTGTTGAGGACCAGGTGTATGTCCAACGACCGAAGAGGACCTGGTCGACTACGGAGCCTTCTTGGTGGTCGAAGGGACGGTTGGTGGGGATGTAGGAACGGATTGTGTCGATTATGTCTGGGTTGGAGTATTCTTCGGTGCAGGTG